GTGACCCTATGGACAACAGCCCTAAACCCTGCTCTATCCTGTGCCAATCGCACTGGATCCAACAAACCTACCCCGATTATCCCAGTCATTGAATCAAAAGCGATTCCTGCCTCTGAAAACCTGTGGGAGGCTCGGCTATGGGTTGGTTCCAACTCTATGGTACACAACAAGAAACCACATGATGCAGCAAGGAACTAGCACTAACTTTACAAATTGGAAGCCTGGACTTTCAGTTTAATTTTTCTGTTTAGTGACTTTATGTGTTCTATGAAACAATTCCTGGGTGAAATATCCATAACATACTGGTAATTACAGATGCTTCAGCCCCTTGCCTATAATGAGATGTAACCAGGGTTGCTACTTCAATTACAAATGCCTTTTATTTCAGATGCAGAGAGCATTGTGAAAATGAGAATTATTCTATTACTCTATTATTATCTACACATCTGATGGTTGAGATACAAATTTGTTCCAAATCCAATCTGTTCTACCTGTTTCTGACTAGTTAAAAACAACCTGTTTGAATGTGAGGTTAAGGCCATGCAGGATGTTATTACTTGATGTCTCTGATGAATTCTCAAATACAGCACACTTTTCCTTATCCAGGTTTAAACCAAGTTCTGATATCTGCTGTTAGGTTTCTGTATTATCTTCCTAGAATGAAATCTCATTTTCTGTTTTATTCTCGCCTTTTCAATAACCTTGCAATCTGTTTAAATACGAGAAAAACTTTAACAAAGAGTGATCTAGCTGGAGCCATGGGAAGCTGGGAGGGAAGTTACTGAGAACAGGAGAAGATAGGCAGCAACAGATGGGGCAAACATTTGAGACAGTAAAACACAGTAACCCAAGAAACAGCATGGCACATCCTTCAGATGCTTGAGGGCATGACTCATTTGAAATCTGGCCACTGCCTAGGAAATGCCTTAGGTGAGGAAAACATGGTCTTATTAAATTCAGACATTTAAATTTGTCCAGGTTGGACCACTTCGAAGTAAAAGTGCTGGCTAATTTAAGATAGTTCCTGTTCAGAGAAATCATGATTTATTGATATTATTTTAAAGGTATATTTGATATGATTATATCTATACTGTTGAACACACCTATATTGGGTGAAGGAGCTCTCATGGCTTAGTGGTAAGGAATTGTGCTGCTACTCCAAAGGTATGCCGTTTCAATCTACCAGCTGCTCCTTGGGAGAGAGATGGGCAGTCTCCTCTCATGTGAGGTACTGCTTCTCTAAACCTGCTGGAGGGGTCAGCTAGGAGCAGATTATGACTTGATGGTACTCAACAACAACATCATCATATTGGGTAATCTTGTCTACTTAGTGATAATTTAATACACAATTACCAAAGACATTTTGTTAAATCTGCTTGGTTAGCGTTAGACAAAACCACACAATCAAATGAACAGAAGTAGGCCAATTGAATGAGCAGAATTCGAATCCATGTTGTGCTCAGGAGAAAATGTTTGCTCTTTCCCAGGTTGCTGATCAGTAGTTACTGATCAATGCTGATCAGAAGCACTTTTTTATCTATCTATGTATACTTGAGCACATACAAATACAAGTAATTGCCTAAATCGTCTACTCCGCAGGCCATCAATTATTTCCTTTACAGACCAATAAAGTGGGAAAGGCAAGAGAATTAATTGTTCTAAAGAAAATACATATATCTCTCCCCTGAAAAGCCAAAAACAATAGTAAAAGAAAACCAAAAGCATCAGAGGAAATCAGGAGGGGGTGGGGGTGGGGAAGCTGCATGTGATGAGTTAAATTTTTATACCACAGGATTTTCCAGCCAGAAATTTAGGGTTAAGCCATTCATCAAAGATCAGAGGCTTATAATGAGGATTATGAAGAAATTACTGTCAGAATACAGCAAAAAGATTAGTACAGCATACATCTCTCAGGCAGGTCCTAGGAGACACTCCAGTCATACATTATGTGCTTCCTCCAAATTAGGCAGAAATATCTGAATCTGTCCAGTTACCTCTCCTTTGATGTGATTTGCTGTTACTGACCTCTCTATTTTTATAAAAACTTGACGCATAAATGAAAATAGTGAAAAGCACAGCAGTGGGCCTGGGAATCCGTACAAATGCATACTGGGTAAGAGCATGTTAAAACTTTTCCAACAGTTTTGGTGGGTTTTTAATTAAAGCACAGCGATCCAAAAATATTTCTCAAAATGTTTTCTACTAATTTTTTATTACTTTTGTAGCAACTGAATCTGCTATCCTAATATGTATCTCTTTTGGATGAAATGACAATAATATCAGCATCTCAGAACTTATTTTTCTGAAGGAAAGAAAAACCCAGAAAATTGAATTTGCAGAATTTTATTCTGATTAAATGAACACTCCAGTGCTTATTTTGATGGTCTTTCAAGTTGGCTGAGCCTTTTTCTTTGCTTTTTTTTTGAGGCTTATAGAAAGAATAATTATAACAATTAAGCTTTTGTAGACACAGAAACCCCTCCTTACCCAGTACTCTTCCTTATTTAACCCTGGAGGCATTTCAGCATTTTGAGAGTCAGTAGCTTGCCATGGCTGGTAGTACTTTAACTATATGTGAATATTTATACCTAGGTACTCAGTGCTAATGATGAGTGAAAAATTCAGTCTTCAAGATTCTTTGTCTGCATGATACTAAAAAATTTGAAGAAAACCAGTAGATATGGGTGTTTAAATGACCCTAGACTGATAACAAGTCACTTAGGGTGATGTGGGCTCTGCAAAATAAAACTTGTTTTTGCCCTTTGCTGGAGATGGGTCAAATATCAGGGAGACTCAACAAAATACTGCTGACTGGTAGGCAGCTGGTAGTACTGCCCTTGCTTGTGAAATGTGAGGGTTACCCAAATCCAGCACATTTCCTTCCCCATGTCTCAAGATGGAGTAGCTCATCATTTACATTTCATTTCAATTCTGTGTCTATACACATGACAGCAGAAATTCCCAGAGTATCCAAAAAGGAGGAGGGCATCCCACAGCAGACTCCTCAGAGGATTCTCCCGTGCCAGAGCTTCTCAGGCTCCAGATCTCAGTATGACTGGTGACTTGAGGGTCACAGTCACATGATGTCATGCTCAGAATGGTGTTTCTTTCAAGCCTTTATCCCCTTTCAGAAAACAAAATCAGCCAGGCTCTATCAGCCCGTCTGTGGAGGTTGGCAGAGCCAGCAGCACAATCAGTTCTAATAGAACTTGTTCTGAAGCAGCTTATGGAATTGCAGTTCCTCTCTCTTAATGGTCAGTTTTACTGCATGCTGATGGAGAGTGTGATTATAGGGTGGATACACTGCACAGAAAATACATTTCTCTTGCTCCTACTTTTATTCTCACTTGCAGCCAATTGTACATAGAGTCTGAAACATATAAAATTAGTTGAGCTACATTAGTAAGTAGAATGCCTTTCCTCCGTTTTGCATACTGAGTTTATTTTTAGGGTATATGTATGGTATAGATTTCCCCCCTCACTCCCCATTTCTAGCAGCTCCACACAGAATCACACATTTTAATGAGCCTAGGGCACAGGTGTTGGAGAAAAAAAAATAATGATGTTTGCCATTCATCTTTCAAATTAAATAATGTGTTTTTAAATAGTAACTTTTTTCATAATACATTATGGGAACAACATTTATCTGTCACATTTTAAAAGATGTATTTGTAATAAATGTAAATTACTTTTAGAAAATCAGTAATTAGGCTCATCAAAAAATAAACAATCTGCCACAAAAAAGATAATCTTTAGCATAGTTAAGTATAATAACTGTTATTTGAATAAGTTAACAAATTAGGGTAGATTGCTTCTGTAATTCATTTCCTATAGCACGAGTTTAGGTTACGGCATTAAGCTTATGGGGGTGAGGGGGTGGAGTTGGCATTAGGTACCTCATACTTTGGTGCAATACAACTCTCACATTTGAGAGCTCAAATTTCCTTCTTTAAACTTGATTGAAAAAGTATACTCATCACTGGGGCTTGGAGAGGGGAAATAATGGAATCTTCGTGTCACTTCTATAGATATATCATCATCTCAGCATTATCAATCAATAGCCATCTTATTAAATATGAAAAGAGAAATGATTCCCTTTAAGAAATGGATGGAAATAAGCCTGTCACCTTCAGGCAAAATTCAAAATTTCTGTTTTTATCAAAATGCCATTAACTTGTCATGTATTCTTTCTGCATTTGCTTTCTGTGCTTGTACTCTCAGCCTGTGTTTGGATAAATAGGAGCCTCTTATTCAACATCAACTTTCCCCTCCTGTTGGAATTCCGAGACTTGGCCATGATTAGGAACTATGACAGCTCAACCTTCCAACCAGGGGGTAGAGGGCGGGAGTTGGGAAGCAAATGTGATGATAGTTAAACTAGACAAAAACATAAAAGGAAGACCTAAATCAGAAGCTGCCTTTAACCCACCCAATCACTGTTCATCTCCAGTCATTGAAGGGAGCAAATAGCTTTCTGGGCAGGAAACTGAAGTATGAGGCATTGTTATTGTTCCTTGGCTGTGATCACAGGGTATAATTTCAGGTTGGAGGACAACATTTTTTCCTTCAGTAGAAGGATTTGAGGTCCTAAATTGTTCAGATACTCAAGTTTTTAATTCTTCTTCCCAGAACGATATTAATAAAAATTATGTCACTAAAAATACCAATTATGATTGGTTACTTTCATGTTGGGGAGTATTTTGTCCACCTAAATGTCTTATTCAGATAAGTATCTGCTGTTGTCATCAGTCTAATGAAACTTTTCTCTTATCATGGCTTTGTTGACTTGAGCTCATATGAAACACATACACACAATCACATTCTCTCACACACACAGATGTACATACACACACACACACACACACACACAAATAACTGATAAAATTTATTTAAATGCTGAGTCTAAAGCTTGCATCATTGTGTTTCACCATAGCTTGTTAAAAACATGGATTTATGTACCTTTGAATGAGATGATTTTCATGCTTGGGGAGGGTCACATTCTACCTATGCATATTTCTTTGTCGATCTTCATGAAAGTTTAGAACATTTTCTTCACAGGCTAGAGTTTTGGGGTTAGGATGCGATACAGCTTTTTGTTTTGGCTGCTTTGCCTTCAAGGAAAGGCTTGGAGCTGTAGCTTTGGCTGAAGCATCATTGCACTCTGGTATTCCAGATTCAACTGGGTTTCCTGGAATCTCCTTGTCACTGCCCAGCCAAGAGAGAGTGCTTAACTTGGAGATTTCCTCACTGGAAGTTTGAGGAAGACCATCCACTTCCTTTTCCACACCAGCTCTTTTCTGAGCTGGAGGACTTGGAAGAGCCAACACATCTGCATCGGCGGTTTGGAGTTGTTGTAGTGACATTCCTTCATTTGGAACTGTGGGCTCATTTGAAGGGGCACTAGAGAAACAGGGCTCCTCTCCATCAGGATCCTCCTCAACACAGGCCTCAAAGAAGCATTCAATGTCTTCCTTGTCATCTAGCCCAGCATCAGCAGTGTCCAATGGCAATGGAGTGTTGCTCTTCTCTTCTATGTAATTGGTGACCTCCCCACAATCACTGTCATGTGATGAGAGGGATAAGTAGGAATAAAAGTCCCCTTTTCTCAGCTGGATGGGCCGGTGAGAATGTTCTAACACTTTTTCCTTGATTTGAGTTAGTGAAGTAGGAGAAGTGGCCTCATTTTCAGGTTGAGATTTACTTTTTAGGGCTGTTGAAGCCATGTCAATGATTTCCTTAACAAAGTCATGTACTGAGCAATCTTCAGCATCTTTTTGATGGCAAACATCTGGCTCACAATTACAACAGGAAATGTTCTCGCTGATAGCAGCATTTTCCTCTGTTTGATTTTCTTCAAGTGCCAGGCAGCAACCAGCAGCTTTTCCATCCATAGTTGGAGTATCAATAGATGAAGATTTCAGTTCATCAGAGTCTCGTCTATGGATAACTCTGGTTTCTGAAGGGAGTTCTGGGTGCAACTTCTCAGCGGAAAGAGAAACAGTACTTTGATTTTCTAAATGGTGGTGATTTTGACATTTCTTCGGGAGATGTCTAATGGTTTGTGGACCAAATTCCTTTCCATCAATATTTGAATCATCCAAGTTACTGACAAATGCCTTACACTTACAAAGTTCCTTCTCAGAAATATTTTTCCCAGTTGAACCAAGGTTTTCTGATACCTTTGAAAAGTTATGCAGTTTGTCCTTTTGCTTTTCTGGAGCGCTCTCAATATTACCATTCTCCATGTCAGCCATATACGGATCTTTATTAACTTTGAAAATGTTCTTTGTATTTTCGCCCTTTGTCCCTAACTCGTCGGTCTGGGATACATTCTTGCCATTCCCATTCTTTTCAGAGAGCTGTTTTATAGATCCGTTTAGAAGGGCTTCAATGTTCAAGGTATCAGAGGGATTGGTCATCTCACTATTACTTATATCTTTATTGCTCTTTATTTCATCACTGAGGTTACATCTTCTCTTATCTTTTGTCAAGGAAAGCTTTGGCCTGATCCAAGTCTGTAGTTCATTCTTTATATAGTCCAGCCCTGACATCAAGTTACAGTCTTCATAAATTTCCTCATCTGTTGCAATACTGGAGTCATCATCCTCATCTTTGATGCACAGCTCTTCTTCGGTCAAAGTGAGTGTAGAGCTTGAAAGGAGGTCGCTGTCATCTTCATCATCAGTGCAAGCAGAAGTGCAAGAGACATTAACGATCATGCTGACATTGACATCACTTTCATCAGCCACGGAATGAGTGAGGCGCTTCCTGAACGAGGCATTTGATTCTGGGATCTTGTTCTTGTGTAGAACAATATCTTCTGAACAAATAGAGAGCTCATCGCTACTGCTAAGTTCTGTAAGAGATGCTGGCGAGTCTTCATTGATGGAAGATGCTATGTCCAGTGACAGCTGACCAGTAAAGGACATCTTTTGGGAACTGCTTTGGAGAGTGATATCAGAAACACTTCGCTTTATCTTTTGCTCTGAGGGACTCTGAATGTTTTCTAAACGATTCAAAAGATCTAATGTCCTTTTGCTCAGCTCACCAACTGAGCCACTGCTTGCACTTATGTCTCCAGAGCTGTGACAGCTAAAAAGATCTTCATTGCTTTTATAGGATGTCAACCAACTTTCTAAAGAAGTGCTTCGCTGGAGGCTGTCACTGCCATTTTTAAAGATGCCTAGGCCAAATAAATCACCACCTGGAGAAAGTGACTCTATAGATGAGCTATGAGATAAAAGAGAGAGTTGTTTGGCATTCTGCATGCCAGTGAATGTCTTCTCTACATCGCCACTTTTATATGAATTGCGGCCCAGTTCATGTGATGCACCTGCCAAAAGCCTTTCGTGGGGTGGTGCATCTGGTTGTAACTCTGTACCCTGATGTTTATATTTGCAGGACTTTTTATCAAAATAGAAACCATGGAGCAGAGAATCTTCCATATGTGCTTTTTCACTTTGTGACTGTTTCATTATCATTGGTAATTTGAGTTTTGAGCCTTGGAGGTATGAGTAATCATAAAACGTAAACACATCATGTTTTCCTTGTAATTCTTCTCTCAAACAATCAGGGGTATGTTTGGTAACACTGCTTAAATCTCCAACTTTTCCATTTACACAACTCGCTGGTGAAATGGATGCCTGAGAGCTCTTTGGAAGTTTAATGTGTTCCTCCTCATCTTTAAGTTTCTGCTTCACCATGTTAACAGCATCTCCCATTTGTAGGTCCAGATGGTCAGTGTCAGGGTTACTTGGGGACCCATCCACTGCACTGAGCAAGCACATTTCAGAGTTGGTCGTTGTTTCAGTGTCTCCTTCACTGACGATTCCACTCTCGCTACCTGAATTCTGGCTCATGTCCCCTCTGTGGCATGGGCAGGGCTTCACCAAATTGCTCCCTCCTAAAAGATCTGGCAGGGATTTTGTAGATGAAAATGAAGAATCTTTACTGAGACTCTTAGTCAAGACAGTAGGCTGTGTCGCACTAGTTAATTTTGGATGGTTTTTCAGAAACGGCATGTGGTTGTCCTCATAGAGTTCTACATTATGAAGACTGTACACTTGGTAAATATGTGGGCTGGAGGGAGCAGTGATACTTGAGGTGTAGGGAGATCCCCCAAGATCACTTGGTTCTTCTTCATATCCAGGGTCCTCGCCTCCTGTCTCCTCAAGGTTTAAGGAAGGTAATGCAGATTGGTGTTCTTGATCAAGGTCATTTGACTCTTCATTGAAACTAATTAATTTATTACTTATGTCGGTTTCATCCCATTCCAGGGCATCTTCACTTGTCCCATTTAGGTCCATCAAGCCAGGATCAATCACATTCAAAATCTCCTGGGCAGAAGAAGAAAAAGAAGAGGAAGAATTAGGGAACTCAAAAATTAAAATTTTGCCCATTCAAATACCTTTAGAAGAATCAGGAAAGAGAATTGCTCCAAGCATGGATTTGAAAGATAGCATAATTATGAGCTCTATGTTTTTCTGGAACAACACCAGAAAGGTATTGAAATGGGCTGTTCTATCAATAGTAATTTGTCTTTGAAGGCAAAACATAGATTAAAATTGGACATTATTACAATTAAATTATAATTTATGGAATTAACCATGTTAATCTTAGATTGAGTGAAGACAATACTGCCATACAAATGAAGGTAAAAAGAACTACAGTCTTTGCCAAGTCTTAAGGTACATCTACCCTAATTCATTTTTTGTTCCCAGAGTCCATAATATAATTCCATCTGCAGACACAATGACCAACTTCCTTTTTCCTCTATCCTAGATCTACATTTAAGCAGCTTTTGCTTGGGGTCTCAGAACAGAGTTACAGACACCCTATAGTCATCCTTGGTTCAGAAGCTCTTGACTGATCACCCTGTCCTTTGCCTTCCCTTGTAGAGCTCTGCTTCTCAAAACTGAGCCTGTGCCTGCTCAGAGGCAAGATGAGAAACACTGGACAAAGCTGTTCACTTTGTGTTGATCAACTTCCTGGCCTGAGCCACAGAACAGCAAGCTTTCTTGATTATATGAAACCTTTTCCTCCTCAGACTCTCTAGAAAAGAGATTTCCCTTTGATACCTGTTATTTCCTTATTAACAGCAACCTCCCATTCAAGCCCCAGAATAAGCAGGTTCCCTACCTTATTTTCTACCTGCCAGTTAGGACCTATTGACTGTTCCTTGGACTTCCTGCTTTACTCTTGTTTAAGTACATCTTGCCATACTCTGAGAAAGAGTGGCTGGAAGGGCTCCTATTATATAGTCTGTCCAGGCTCTTTCACCACCTCTGCATGCCTATTCAGTTGTTCAAATTATTCTGCAGGTAATAGATTATATGGGCAGTCTCATCCCATGGAGTGTACTGCCTCTGAAAACTTGCTGGTGCATCGGGTATGAGTCAATTTTGACTCTATGGCACACAATGGTAACAGCACATATACCAATACATGTTTATCTATACATTAACTCACTCTTCACTTATCAACATGGCTAGACTCCAAAGATCAGATAATGTGAAAATTGATGTTATGTGACAGGGGAGAGTCCTCGCCTCTTTCATTTTCTGATCATCCACTTATCTGATATTTGAAAAATTATTTCAAAAATATGATCACATAAATAAGTACACGTAAATCTTACTGATGTGCTCATCACTGTGATGAGTCCAGTTATAGACTGTTGCCTTGCAGAAAAAGTGGCTTAGAATAGACAAAGCTGGGTAAAACCAGGCTGTGTGACTGGACGTTCCATGGCTGAACCGCTTCACATGTCACTGAGAAGGTGTGGGGCCTGAGGCAGGAGTCAGCCCCACACAGCAGCTGACTCAGTGCCTCTACAGGCAGGAGGAAGCAGAGGGTGTGAGGCAGTTCAGACAAGCTTTCAGGAGGCTCCAGCAATTAAAACCTCCTTGGGAAAGGGGACACATCATAGCCACTACCCCAAGACTATTATCTAGCTAGTGTGTAAAATAGTAAAATGTTACACTCTTATCCTAAATGTGAAATAGCCAATAATGAGATAGTCGAGCAAGTTAGTAAGTGTACTGTAGAACTTGTCAGACCCACCTACAAACAGAAACACTAAGAAGAATTTGTAGTTCAGAGTCAACTAATGCAGGGTAGCCAGGGGCATAAATATAGCTTTGGAACCAGTTATACTGAATTGGCCACTTAGCAGTTTTTTAATTTGGGCAAGTTGCTTAACCTTTCTGATCCCCAGCCTCCTCATATGTGCAACCAGGGATCATGTCACCTTTAGAGGATCATTCTAAGCAGTAAATGAGCTGATGCTTGTGGACTATGGAGGAGGCAATCAGTACAACATTGCTATCATTCCTAAAGCACGTAGAATTGCTCTACCTGGGACTTGACTCAATTGATAAACCACACTCCCACTCCCACTTTTGATTCTCCCCTCTTTTTTCTCATTATTCCTTCTAATTTGTTCTTGAAGCCATAAGACATTCATGACATGGGAGGTAGAGAGAGATGTCACGAAGCATAACAGGTCAGCAAATTTGCCTTATAAGTAAGAATTCTTTTCACCATTTTGGTGAAAGATGGGCCATGATGCTTTTATTCCTCATTACTGTGGAAAAAAACTTCACTTGAAACACATTAGTGGAACTTTCCTAAGAAAATCCTCAATCCTTCCTTAAATGAATACTTAAAGGATACCACACAAACACATTAAGTATAAAATATCCATTAGCACTTTATTATACTGGATATGTGAGAGATTATCTGAATAGCCTACTTAAATTTAAAAGAGTCCAGTTACAAAGTAAACATTAATTAGGGATATTTTTAAATTTTATAACAGAAGTCTTTCCTCTGCCAATGTTTTAGCAGTTAATCTAGTATACTGGCAGTCACCAGACTTGCTTAGGTATGGAGTACCTAATTCACTGTGATGAATTTTTATTAGAATTTCTGTTTATTCTTTGCTTGCTGATAAAGGAAGTACTAATGACTGGTTAGTATGGCTAATGAATGTTAAAATCCTTAGCTGTAGGAACAATCAATCAGTCTAATCAAATAGTATATTAATTTCAAGTACTGACTTGGTTGACACTGTACTCTGGGCATGCTGATAAATAATTGAATTAGTCTTTCATAGGAGCTCTCTTTATAACTCTCTGGATGAGTTTAACATTTAGCAACACAGATTTTTCCAAGAGGGTCCCAAATGTGGGAGCTCACACACAGACCCTGGGACTGTGTCGTTCCACTGTACATCAGCAGCATGGTTTAAACTCACTTGCAACTCAGACTCGTCTTCCATGACACACCAATACAATACCTCATGAAATGCTGCCACTTTACCGTTTTATGATTTCAAGCCCTAGAAAATATAAAAACGTAGCTAAAAGAACAAATCCCTTGCTCAATAAAGTAGTTAGAGTGGAAAGTTTCCAAAGGAAAAGATTAAACTTTTGGATACAATGTTCCTTTTCCTTTCTTAACTTTCTCTGCCTAGAAACCTCTTAAATGTACTGTAATTTCTTTGTATAATATTTCTAGGGAAAACATGAGGGGATCCATTAGAACAACTTCACGAGTGATGTTAAATTTTACATATTAAAAAAGTGCCAATCAGTAAGCTCTCCTTTACCTGTTTTCTGTTAACAGATTAAATCCTGTCAATATTTTCAATAAAACCTCCATTTCCTCAGGATTTAGCCTCAACCATAAAACATACCCTTGGGGCAGTAAAGTGTGAGGAGTTTCCAAGAGCAATGACACACAAATATTTCTATAACTAAAAAAGTTGGTCTGAAGAGCTGCACAGTAATATAACCAAAGCAAAAACTTTTTACTTTGATGTTCTCTTTTAATGATGTCTCAACATAGCAAATAATCCACAAGTTAATGAATAATTAATTATTCATCTTGAGCCCTTTTAGAAAATTTATTGTACTATTTTTAAACATTTTATAAGGACTTTTAAAATCAATAATGAATAAAGATTCCAAAAGAATATTCTTATTCTAAACTGAAGAAGTTTTTGCCAATCTTTGGGTAGTTGAACATCTATTGTTATGTCCACCGTGGTGCTTATGCCCATTGTTGGAGTCACTATGTCTATTCGTCTTGTTGAGGGTCACCTTCTCACTGACCATCTCCATTTCCAAGCAGGATGTCCTTTTCCAAGGATTATCTCCCTAAAAACATGCCCCAGTATGTGAGATGAAATGTCATCATCTTTGCCTCCAAAGAGTACCCTGGTTGAACTTCTCCCAAGATAGAATTTTTTTGTTGCTGTTCTTTTGGTAGTCTGTGGTTTCAGTACTGTTTCCCAACTCCACAATTAAAAATTTAGCTTCTTCTAGACCAAACCAATCCTAACCCATTGCCATCAGGCTGGTTCCAACTCACGGCCAACCTCTATTAGATTTTCTGAGGCTGTAAGTATTTAGATGAGGAGACTGCCTGCCTTTCTCCTGCAGAGCCATTGGTAGATTCCAACTTCTGACATTTCTATTCACAGCCCAACATGTACTAGTCTGTGTCACCAGAGCTTTTAGAGAATTTAATTCCCTTTATAAATATATATGTATTGAAAGACAATTCTTAAAATATTTTTAAAAAGGCTAGAATGAACTGCATGCTGCAGCCAAACTTCAGGAGATCAGAATGATTAAAACCAACAAAGGTTCTCCCATGTGTTCTCTTCAAGCTTATTCTAGAACCAGGAGCAAACACTGCAATACAATATGCAAAGATCTGGGAGGAGGGTTTCTCTCATAAAAAATCCATGAAACTAAAACAACAAAAATTATATATAATTTCCCCTATGAACAAAGATTAGACTAGTGGCAAAAAGCTGCACTGCAATCCTGAAGACATACAGTATGAGGCCACCTGCTGCTCTGTAGGAGAAGGATGGGCAATCTCATCCCATGCAATTAATTGCCTCTGAAAACCCACCAGAGGGCCAGCTATGGGTCAGTCCTGACTCTGGGGAACACACAACAACAAATGAAAAAAGACAGGCATACAGATTTGAGGGAGTGATGGGGTGGTGAGGAGAGAGAGGAGGAAATCCATTTAAATTATGAAAAATGTTAACTACCACATATTTATTATTCTTTTGTGAAACAATATTTGCCCTAGCTATCCTCCTCCAAACCTAAAACCAAAGTGGACAAACATTGCTGTTGTTGCTGTTGGTATGTGCTGTTGAATAGCTTGTGACTTATAATGACCTGATGTACAATAGTTCTGAACCCTGCTGTATCTCGAGCCAATCTCATCATCACCAACACACCTAATCCCATTACTTCAGTCACTGAGTCAATCCATCTCATCCAGGATCTTCCTCTCTTGTGCCGTCCCT